TCCCCGCCCCTCACCCAGCGCTCCCTGGCCCCGCCCACCTCTGTCAGTCATCCAGGTTTCCCTGGCCCTGCCCCTCTCCCTGTCGGTCATCCCCGTCTCATTGGTACCGCCCATATCCCCGCCCTCTGCCCCGCCTCTCCCCACCTCAGGAAGGTTCCAGGCAGGCGCCGCGGGCACCCCGGGCGTGACGTCACGGCAGCGCACCGTCCTCAGAGTAGGACCCCGTCGCATCCGCGTCCCCTTGGGTCCTTGAGCCGGCGCGGACTGAGTGGCCATGGCCTTGAGGCTCCTGAAGCTTGTCCCGGCGTCGGCGTTCGCGCGTGGCCTCGCGGCCGGAGGCCAGCGCGTGGTAAGCGGCGGCCGACGGGCGGTCGGCCATTCTCGCCGCGGCCCCTTCCTCCCTCGGGCCTCGGCCTAGCTCTCCTAGGGCAGTACGGCCCCTGCAGCCCTGGAGGATCGAGGTGTCCTGCGGGCCCCTCCTCCGCCCTGGTGGAGCGAGGCGCGACACTGCTCGCCCGCCGGACTGCAGCGGGGACCCGGGGCGCTCCGGCTGGAGCTGGACCGCGCGCCCAGCTTTCCATCCATTCTAGCGCGGGGAACCAGCAGGAACTGGAATGATGGATGCGGAGCAGTGACCGTGGGAGTGAATGGGAGGGTGACGACGTGCTGCGGGGCAGAGCAGGGGCGACACCGGACGCTGGGCTGTCCCAGCTGGAGCCTTGAAAGGACGCCTTCCTATGACGGTGGTGTTGTAGTGACAGGACCTACGTAGGTGCCAATTTCTAAGGGTTGAGCCTCGTGCTAAGGACTTCGATTTCTGATCAGAAGAGTGTAATCATTTGGGGGGGGGGCAGAGATTGAATGCGAGACTGAATGGGTAGAGTCAGGGCTGCCAGGTCTCGTAGGGACCGTGCCTATCCTGATGCACTTTGTCATGTCATTGCTTTTTCCTCTGCGCCCCTCAGTCAGGCTGTTTTCCAGCCTAAATAAGTTTTGGTAAGTTTGTGTGCATTGAGTTTGTTCTTTGCGCTGTGAGGGTCCATGGTTTTGACAACTGTACAGTGACCTATCTCCACCTTTACAGTAGCATACAGTGTAGTTTCACAGCCCCCCAAAATTCACCCGCTTAGTCTTCAGGTATCCTGGAACTCCTGACATAGACTGTCTTGTATTCAGCCATATATTACCCTTTGCACTGCTTCCTTCGGTGAGAAATACCATTTAAGAATCACCCATGGAGTTGGAGAGATGGCTCAGTGGTTAAGAGTACTTGCTGCTCTTCCAGCTGAGTTCAGTGTCCAGCACCCATGTCAGACAGCTTTCAGTCTTGTGTAACTCCAACTCAGAGGAATCCGACACCCTCTGACCTCCATGGGCTTGTACACATACAGTAATAAAAATAAATCTTAAAAAATTAACTCATGTCCTTGTGGCTTGTTTAATCATTCCTTTTAATCACTGGCTGATACTCCATTAGCCATAGTTTAGATATGCCATCCTTTGTCCGTTCAGTTGTCGAAGGCTATCTTGGTCGTTCACGACTTGAAACAGTTATGAAGAGAGCCACTGTAAATGTGCATGCAGACTTTTGTGGAAATTATGTCAGTTGGGCAATACCCAGGAGTGATTGCTGGACCATTAGTGAGTGTGTGGCCTTATAACCATCTTCCAGTGACTGTACCATTTGCACTTCAACAGCACAGGAGCATCCCTGTTGCTTGCTGTCTTGTCTTCATTGATGTTGCAGTTATTTGGATTTATAGCCACTCCACAAGCGCATAGTGCGTTCCTCACTATCACTGTGGCTTTCAGATGACAAATGATGTCACCATCTCACCTGCACATTTGCCATCTGCATGTCTTTGTGTGATCTGTTCAGACCTTGTGCTCACTTCTAAATTTGCTGCCTTTTCCAGTTGTTTACCTCTTACTTAGGTCTTACCGGCTATACACACTGTCTCTTGCTTGGTGACTTTTATTTAGGGAGAGTGGATTATACTGGCTTCAGTGTGATTAGTAGATGAAGAGATTGCTGATGAGGCTGTGTCTTGCTTTGTGGAGAGATGTGAGGACATCCTCAGAGTCTGAGCAGGAGAGGGAAGGCAATGCCTCTTCCACAGAAGTGAGTTTGGTTTTTGTGAGTGATTATGGTGTTGAAGGACAGAAGCAAAGATACAGCTTATATTTCCTCTGTTGCTTGTCAGGTGGTGGAGAGTTCCCACTGTGTAGGATATCACACTTGGAGGTTAGAATGTGGAAACTATGTTTTTAGGTTTGCTAGCTTTTGGGTGCCATTAGATCATCCAATTAGAAATGTTCAATAGGTGGAGGGGTAACTAGGTAAAAGGTTGAAGACAGGAGCCCGGACTAGACATGTGCTTTCATTCTCTTATCTCAGGACCCTCTCCTCCCTGCCTGTCACCTGTCCCATCTGTCCATCCATCCATCCACCTGTCCACTCATCCACCCACTCAGTCTTTATTAACATAGAAAACACACTTGTTTTAGGCCCTGTTCTGGAACCTATGAAGTAAAGTGAACAGTCAGCTCAGGGAGCGTGCATGGGAGAGGGAATCAGATTATTAAGCAAGGAGGACCTCTTGGTATTTTACCTAATAGCTGCTAGTGCATGCAGTAACCAGAGCACTGTGTCTTTCAGCAATGGATTCATGCCAGCGTGCAGTGCAAGCTGAAATATGGGCCTTTGGCTTACCTCCTTGGTGAGAAGACATCCAAGAAACTGAATGAGTACAGCAGAGTGATAACTGTAGACGGTAACATATGCTCTGGGAAAAGCACGCTCGCAAAGGAGGTCGCAGAGAAACTAGGTATGGGTGCCCTCATGGCTGCTTGTCCTTAGAGTTGACGAGGGAATTGACTGGGCAACACTGGGCCTAAATGGGTCTTGACATATTTAAGTTGCTTGTTGGGTGTACGTTTGTAATCTCAGCACTTGGGACGCTGAAGCAGGAGGATTGCTGTGGGTTTGAGGCAAGCCTGGGGTATATAGTGAGTACCTGGCTAACCAAGACTTCGTAGGAAGACCCTATTTCAAAGAGACCAAAATTTACCCAGCACTCTGGAGGCAGAGGCAGGCGGATCTCTACGAGATCGAGGTCAGCCTGGTCTACATAGTGAGTCCATGCAGACTGGCACTATGGGAGACCCTGTGAGAAACAACAGGAACAACAACAAAAAGACCAAAATTTAAAAACCCATGGCAGTTATGAGTTCATTGGGTTTTACCTGGGAGTGCAGTGGAGCACTTCCACCGAGCCCCAGGCCGATGGCGCCGCCGCCGTTCTCTTTCACATGGGAAGATGAGGCGGTAAGCTGGCCTGTTGAGGTTATTGTGCAGCCGTCTGTCCACTGTGTCTTCTGTGGTGTTGGACAGCAGTGCCTGCTTGCATGGAGGATGCCTGGTCACAGGAAGACAATGCAGCACAACTTGAACCTGTTACGTCCTGGGTGTGTTGTCTGTAGCATCTCTTGTGCTACCTGATCATGGGATGAAGCACTTGGGCAAGAATCCTGATGCCCAGCCCTGGAGATGGCCTTCACATTTGTTCTGTCCTCTGTGAGCTTGCAGTGGGCGTGCTCGGTCCACCCATGCTTCAGCACGTGTTTCTCTTCTCAGGCATGAAGCACTTTCCAGAAGCGGGCATACATTACTCAGAAAGCACCTCAGGAGACGGAAAGCCTCTCGACGAAGTCGAATTTAGTGGTAACTGTAGCCTGGAGAAATTTTATGATGATCCGAAGAGCAATGATGGCAACAGCTACCGCCTGCAGTCCTGGCTGTACACCAACCGCCTCCTGCAGTATGCAGACGCCCTGGAGCACCTGTTGAGCACAGGTGCTGCTGGGTCCTTGGTCAGGGGCAGTGGGTGTGCTCTTTCTTGATCCTGTTCTGGAATTCAGCCATTTCAAGTTACCATCCAGTAGCGGTTTTCTGTAAGGGTGTTTGAGGCAAGTCTTGTGTTTCCAGTGAGACTATAAATCCCTGCAATCCTGGTTTCTTTGGGTTAAAGTCAGATGGCCTCCCTTCACTGCTTTGCACTGTAATGGAAGATGTGACCTGTAAGCAGGTAATGTGTCAGAATAAAAACCAGAGAACCTGCAGGTGCCCTGGACGCTGCAGCGTCACACTGAGGAGGATGGACCTTTGTCCTGTAGAGACCTGGATGGCTGCAAACTGGGGTTGTCAGGCTGGAATTTGCCACAGAGAATGAAAAGGTGGCAGAGATGAAAGGAAGCAGATCCTGAAGAGGCCCATGGCCCCCATGGTTAGAGAGCCTTTGTCCCTAGTGGTTCCCCAAGTGGGATATTTGGACAAGCAAAGCTCAGTGGGAGATTAGCAGCAGGGGTCAGGAAGCAGTTAGGGCATGCAAGGAAGGTAAACAGCGCAGGAGCACACATATGTGTAAATGAGGTCAGGATCCAGCCCCTGTTCACTATTCTGGGGAAGGGCAGAGAGTTTAATTTGATCCTGACCCCCAAATACCCTGAGAACTGACAGCGGACACAGTGCTGATCCTGTGGCAAAGCCATGTGCCAATGTCTGTGTTCACAGAGGTACATTGTGTGGGGGAGAGCAGAGATGACTGCTCCATGTATGTGGTAGTGGCTACCCCATGGCTGATGAGTGGGTTATGGGAGGGTGACTGGCTGGTGGTGTTAAAGGCTCATTTCTCCTTTGTATGGCAGTGCCTTGGTTGGTGAGTTGCTTGTGTGTGAGAAGTGGTAGCTGGTTTTGAAGGCTGTCTGTGGTGGTTGATGGTAGATTTAGACAAAGGCTACCCTAGGGAGTTGGCTCTGTGGTTCTGAGCTATGAGAACAGTGTGTCCCAACAAGGCCCTGACCAGCTGCCTCACACACCTGTGTTCAAGGCCCACTACCTCAGATTCTCTGTTAGGTTCCTGTGCACAGAGCACATGTCCACAGACACGTATGGTTATCGTCTTTCTCCACATTTTATTAAAGGTTTTTTTCTTTCCATAAATGTAAGCCCTGGCCTTAGTGTTGCTCCTAGGAGCATATGATCTGCAGCGTCCCTTTGGGGTTCTGTACCAGGACCACCTCAGGGAAACTGGAGCAGAAGCTGGGCACAACATGGGCCTTTAGGGCAGTAGTTCCTTAAGATACTCTACCCTGTTTTTAATACCTGTTTCTTAGACTTGTTTTGTGCACAGTGATTTGTTTCCTTTTGTGCATGTTCAATTACCAAATATTCGGTGAGGCTCTGTTGTGCTGAGGCTTACTCCAGGAACCTGGGGTCCTGTGGGGAGGATGAAGACTGGGAATGGGGGTGACAGGTAGTGAATGGGTGGCGGGTGCTCTGGGGAAGCAGGTCAAGGACCATTTTCTCAGGCATGTAACCAGTCATTGTGAGTGAGGTCAGGGGTCTGTGCTTCCTGGGGAGGCTCTGCTATGCCTGGCGGGGACTTTGCCTTTAGCATCATACATGACTGTATTGCAGGGAGTGAAGCTGGAAGTGACAGAGGTTAGGGTGAAGAAGAGCCAGGTAGGTGTGGACTGGAGGTCTCTCCTCAGGAGAGAGGAGGCCATTGGGAAATGTCCTTTTGCTGATTGGAGAGGGGCCAGGCTATGATTGGACTGTGTCGTGTCAGTGAGCTCCTGTCGGCTTCTCACTGAACCCGGTGGCAGCTCTCACTTTTGACTGCTTCGGACAGGAGTGTCCACATGCAGTTACACATTGCTCAGATCATGCAGAAAGACAAAGTATTGCACTGCACTAGAGAAAGTGACCTGGGATTCCTTACATTTGATGCAGCTACTGATCTAGAGAATATATTAGAATTAAACCATTCTTTATCAGCAGACTGTTCAACAAAAACAGTGCCCTGAGTCAAGCTGTTCATTGGGATGGGGCTGCCTCTGAAGCTGCCATTGAGAGATCAAAGCGAGATCCTTTTCTTTGGTGACGGTGGTGGTCTCAAAGGAAACGCATGATCCTTTGACCATCTTGGAGCACAATATAAATGCTGGAATTCGACCCCTTGTTGTGTGATAAGATCAAGGTGTATCTGTTTGAATGTATGAAATGACGAAGAGCTACTGAGTTATTCTGAACTTGAGGCAACATTTTTGTACTTAGTTCGTTAGTCATGAAAAAGCGTGTGTTTACAAGCACTTTGGGGTGGTTTGTGATGGAGATGTAAGGTGTGCAGAGGAGTTAACCTGCAGTTTGAGGACGTCATGGCTGGAGTGGGACTGGGAGGTCATGGTGAGGATGAAATACCTGGTTTAAAATCCACACCTGCCAGGCGTGGTGGTGCACTCGGGAGGCAGAGGCAGGCCAATCTCTGTGAGTTCGAGGCCAGCCTGGTCTACATAGTGAGTTCCAGGACAGCTGGGGCTACAGGGAGACCCTGTCTCAAAAAGACCAATAAAATGAAATGAAATGAAATGAAATGAAAAGAAAAGAAAAATAAAATACACCCTTTCCGGTTCTATCATAGCTGATGGAAGAAACACAATTTTCCCCAAACCGAAAAAATAGGGTCTTTAAAAATGTTTCCCACTTGTAAATAGTGTATATGGTCTTTGAATATATTTGATGTAAAAATGGAATTGTAAATGACTGGTTTTTTTTTGTTTGTTTGTTTTCTGACTTTTCATTTCTAAAACAATATTTCTAGTTAATAGTCCATTTTATCCATCTGTTTTTTAATTTGTGTTTACCTGTTCTAAACAGGACAGGGTGTGGTCTTGGAACGCTCCATCTTCAGTGATTTCGTCTTCCTGGAGGCAATGTACAAACAGGGCTTCATCCGGAAGCAATGTGAGTCCTGTCTCGTGCCCCCTGGTATGCCCCTTGGTGTGCAGGTGCCTTCACAGAGGCTGTCAGAGGTTCTGTTGAGTTAGATAAGTGCCCCTGCCTACTCCAGTCCCCCAAGGGAAGGCTACTCACCTCGCTCCCCTCCAGCCTGTTTCCTCCTAAAGTAGATGTCTTGTCCCTTCACTTGGTGTAAGGGAGAGTAGACTCCCCAGTGCTCAGGAGCATTCTGCCCCCCCACCCCAAGTTCCCACAGCTGTCTCCCAAGACCCCATCCTCAGACCCTACAGGGTCTTCCTTCATTCTCTTGGGCAGTTCCTTGGGCAGAACTCTTCAGTTTCTCCTGTGCAGGACTTTTTACAGAACCAGGAGTTTACACTCCCTGCATTGCGTGCTCTTGCACAGCTGCCAGTGTCGTCATTTCCCCTCTGACACACTGCTCATCCTGGTTTTGGGGACAGTGGCCTTGATTGGGGAACAGGTGATGAAGGAGAAAGGGGCAAGGCCTCTTGGTGAAAGTAGGCTGGCCTAGAGAGTCCAGGAGGTGCAGTAGGTGCATCTGTGAGGCGGGGAGTGCTGTGCCAGGGCTCCGCTGGTCTTTCTGCCATGTTCTCACTGGTGTGCTCAGCGGCTGCACCGGCCTTACTGAAATTTGGAGGTCGGCGTGGGCGTGAAACTGAAGCAGGCAAAGAAGGGAAGGTAATGATCCGGGACTGCTCTGGGTCTGTTCTGTGTCGTGATAGTTAGGGGCCGCCCACCTGTGGGGGGGGGGGGAGCAGAAAGAGTGAGTGAGAACTTCACTTCCGACTGAGGGGCGGTCTGCCCTGGACATGCCAAGTGTCAATGAGGTCAGCCACCAGGTATTTCTGGGGCCACTGTGTACACAGCTCTGTCCTGGCTGCTCATGTAGGAAGGGACACAAGGTGAGGTTCTAGACTTTCTAGGGGCCAAGGGCATTAAACAGCCCAGGTGATGAGTGACAGCACAGCACCAAGAGCACCCCAGTGTTTCTCCAGGGGTCTGTGGAAGGAGGCATGGCAACTTCCCTGGTGAGTAGCCTTCGGGGATCATCCATGGGGTGCAGGACAGCTTGGCAAAGCCTGCATTGTCAACAGTGGTCTGGGGGTACTGTCAGAAGGAGGACCAGGCTGAGGGTAGTGCTGGAGTAACAGCCAGGCCATGCACAGGTAAGGACTGGCACCTGTTAGGGTAGGATGTTTGGATTTCTCCTGGAAGCACTGAGGGTTTAAGTGTAGGAGGGAAGATTTGGTGGTTAGGTGGTCACAGGAATGTCTGGAGGATGCATCTGGTAAGGGAACTGCCAAGGGGAGGATGCCCATCGGGGGGACTGAGAAGGGGCTGGTTGGCTAGGTTGGGGGATGCCCTGGCAGCAGGAGCTAGGCACTCGGGAGCCTGGAGCTGACAGGGAAGAAAGAGTGACTAGCTGGGTGGTCAGCCTTACAGAGTACAGCAGGAGAGTGATGGGGGCCTGCTCTAGAAGGGTGAGGGCAGCAGGTTGCAAGACAGGCTTCTGTTGGGGTGTCTGGGTGTCGGGTTCTCTGAGATGGGCTCAGAATTTGCCTAGAGGCAGGGGCATGTCCTCTGCAGCCTAAGGATGAGGTGGCACCAGGGTAGTTTGGGCCTCAGCACCAACAGTTGGCATTCTTGACTTAGGAATGCCCATGAATGGTATCAGAGTGGAGACCAGTTCCTGGCTGCCATTTCTGAGGAGGTGGAGCTCCTGAGGGTGAAGTTTAGTGGTCACACACGCATGGGGACAGCTGCAGGGGATGAGGTTTGGTTGTCCATGCCACATGGCCTCTGACAGGTGACTGTTGGAGCTCACCTGTGGGAGGTTGGTGACTGTAGTAAGTCCTTTCAGTGCTGAGTTCTGGGAAAGCAAAATGTACTGACTAAAGCCAGGTGGCATCTGATGAGGAGGAAAATGGCTTAAATGGGGTGGTGGCACTGGGAAGCGGAAGCGTGGAAGAAGAGCAGAGGAGGCAAGGAGCACGGAGCCTTAGCAGTAGATGAGGGTGAGCACCACAGGTCCAACTGCAGAAGCAGGGGGAGGCCTGGCTTCCTCCTTGCACTAGTGTGAGTGTGGTCAGGTGTGCCCCTTGGGTGCCCCTTGGGCACACCACCTCCTCTGCACTCCCCCTCCTCCAGCTCCGTCCTCCTTGGTTTAGCCACAGACTGGCCTCAAGATTGCCTTCAACACAGTAGCCAGGAGAGTCACTGGGATGTTTTCTTTAGTATGAAATAATTGTCTTCCTGTGCACCTTACTGTGATCACCCACGTGTCACTTCTGGAAGGTGTTACCATGGGAAAATCTATAGACAGTAGTTTCTCAGCACTGCCCAGAGGTGACCAAGTGTGGTGCTTCCCTCCACAAACCCAGCACATTCTCCCCGTTGGGGTCCACTGAGGATAGGGTATGTGTGATGACTCTGGGGTGGAGTTTTTTGAATAGCAGAATTCCCCGTCGTCAGGACTGGTGTGGCTGCTTCTCAGTCAGTGTAACCATTAATTTTCAGTGTTAATTTGATTTGGTCGGTACTTAAGTATAGCCCATTAAACTCACTGAAGTACTCGGAACCCAGGAAAAGATAGCTTACACCTCTCAGTTGAGTTGTTTGAGAAATTTTTATTTTCTATCTTACTTTGTTATTTTTATTTTGCATATGAGTATATTGCCTCCACGTGTGTAAGTATACATGTAGGTGCTGGGACTTGAACCCAGGTCCTTTGCAAGAGCAGTCAGCACTCTTAACCACCGAGCCATCTCTCCAGCCCCTAAAAATATTTGTTTTATTTTTAAAAATATTTATTACTTTTATTTTATGTATTTAAGTATATTACCTGCATGTATGTATTTAAACTCCCTAAAGAAGACCAAACTCTTTATCTGTGGCACTGTGAAGAAACGGACACACAGTAGGTGTGTGTCATGCCACCTAACTCAAGAGACACATAAAACAAACACCCATGTGCCTCCACTGTGCCCAGGAGTAGGGTGGACACCAGTAGGGTCTGTCCTGTGGGAGGCGGTTAGGGTCATGGTTTAAACCCCCGTGTGCCAGAAGCCAGCCTAGAGTCTGATGACAGCGAACTATCCTGTGCAGGTGTGGACCACTACAATGAGGTGAAGAGGCTCACTGTCTGCGAGTACCTGCCTCCCCATGCAGTCATCTACATCGACGTCCCCGTGCCAGAGATCCAGAACCGAATCCAGAAGAAAGGAGATGTGAGTCGGCACCATCAAGGGCAGGCGGCAGGTGTCCTTGTGTAGCACACCAGAAGGCCAGTTCCTCAGCCTTCACAGGGCAGGTGACACATGGAGCAGATCGTAACTGAGAGGGCCACCTGCAACCAGAGCTGTCCCTGTTGGGAGAAAGTGAGCTCTGCCCCAGCCCTGCCTGTCCCTGCCTCTTCTCTAGGGTTCTTGTGCTCTACTGTCCTGGAGACGAAGGTGTGGGTGTCCCTTTCACTGTCCTTTAACGGAGCCTCTCCCTCTTCCCACCCACTGGTTCTGGGACAGGCGAGCTATGTGCTGCTCACACATCCGGTTGCCCTCTGTGTTTTGGATAAGACTCTGGGTGGTTCCCAATATCCCTTAGGTGGGTGAAGGGTGTAGAGACTAGTAGGTGCTGGTCCTGGAGGAAATATAGCCTCTGATGGTGTGATGAAGATGCAGGTTGTTGTCCAGAGGTCCTGAAGTGCCCTACCTCAGTGCTGTGTGTCCCTCCAGCTGTCCCAGGGGCACCTTTGTTAATGCAGAGCTCAGGTGTCTTAAAAATAATCAGTCTTACTGTTGTGTGATGTGGATGTGTGTACCATGGCACACGTGTAGAGTATGGAGTCTGTTCTCTCCTTCCACCTTTCCTGGGTTCCAGAGATTGAACTGAGGTCTCTAGGCTGTGCAGCAAGCGCCTTAACCTGCTGAGCCCCCTTCTGGCCCTGGAGCATCTTTGCAAGCTGCTTTGGACCAGCTCTCCCTTTGAGCCCCAAGCACATGTGGCATATGGCAGGCGTCTCTCTCTGCCTCAAAGCTTCAGACTTCACCTTAAGTGTGAAGTGTAATTTAGGCTTGCTGACCATTCTGTCAAGTCACAAAGGGAGGAACTGCAAGTTGAAAATACTTAATTTTTCCAGCAAAATAGTTTTGACCACTTGTGCTTATGACAGAGAGTCATTGAGGAAGCCGGGGTGTACACTCTCTAGATGGCAGTTCTTGACAGAGAGTCATTGAGGAAGCCGGGGTGTACACTCTCTAGATGGCAGTTCTGTTACGTTAGATACAGCATTTCAAAACGGTTCTGAGGGCCAGTCACAGCTGTCATGTATGTTTTTCCAAGTGAAGTCAGTGCTGCCAGCAGCACTAAGAGCCACTCTGCAATGACAAGGGAGCCTCTGCCAGAGGGCCACGCTTGCCAGGAAGCATGTGTTCCTCCTTCCTTTCAGCAGCACTCTGCCTCTATGATGCAGCGTTGGGAAGAACTATGAGACTCTAACTCCGTATTTGTCCATATTTGTGGGTCAGATTTCTGTGATGAGTGTGTTGTGTATTTTTGAGGATCCGTTTTGATTATCTGCAAGCAAACATACTTCACGTTGGCCATGGCTAGTGATAGAGACTCGTGTCCCTGCTGCCCCTTACAGTGCTTTTGTGGACCCTGCGTGACCCTCGCCTTTCTGGGATAAAGCTCCCAGTTTCAGCACCTTTCCCAGGAAACCAGTTCCCTCCACCACAGTGTAGTTGTCTACGTCATTTCCTGTGCCTGGCCTCATTCCCAGGACTGTAGGCACTCCAGAAATGCACTGTGAATGAGTGTTTCTTTCAGCACTAGAGAGATGATTTATACTTCACTAAATGTACCCAATTGAAATTTGCTACTCTAATTTTCGATTTGCCAAATTGTGGCATCTACCACCACAATCCGGTTTTAGAATGTGGCTCTACTAAACCCGGTTCTAGAATCCGGTTTTACTCTGTTAGAACTATCGGCCTTAATCGTTTCTTTCCTTCTCCCTTCCATCCCACGAGAGTTCCCTGTGCTAGACCATGGCGACTAGGGCTGCCCAAACTAGAGCCGCCTGATGAGTTTGCTCCAGCAGCTCCTGTTCCCGGACAGGAGCACTGCAGTGGGCACAGAAATCAGTAAAAGGACACAGAGTGAACAGTGATGACTTTGCAGCTAAACTGTCTGAAGTCAAATACTGAAACTGCCACTCTAATTAATGAAAGTTTTAGGTTGTCTTCCCACGACAAAGGGAGTGAGAGAAGGAAGGAATGAGGAAGGGTGGTGACGAGGGGGGTGGGCTGAGGTCGGGGAGAAACCCATTGCCTGGGTTTGAAGTGAAGCGCAGCAGCAGGACAGGAGGGGCCTCCTTGACCTTCATGTAGAGGGAGGTCATGCTGTGGGTCCCCCGAGCCCACACAGGTGTCCGCTGCAGTCAGGAATGGTTCTCACAGGTGCTGATCTCCCGCCTGTCCCTTGAAGCCCTTGCCACACACAGATTGTTAGAAGAAAGCGGTAGCTCCGTTCGTCACCTGCATGTAGGGACAGAGAGAAACCAAGTCTGAAAGCATCCCGGTTTGATTTTTTTTCTTGCTTCTGGTTAGCCACACGAAATGAAAATCACTGCTGCCTATCTCCAGGACATCGAGGATGCCTATAAGAAGACCTTCCTCCCCGAGATGAGGTGAGCTCAGTGCACTGCTGCATGTAAGACCCAGGCTGCCTTGAAGAGAGATTCTTGACCCCCTCCCCAGCTTGGGGAGCTTCTCTCCTTTCACTGCCTTGGGCTGCGTGTTTCAGTGAGGGTTTGTAAGGAAGGCCATCAGGAGACCTTGCACTTAAGTTGTTTTGGATTTGTTTGTTTCATTTTCTGTTTTGTTATATCCTTAAAATTTTTCATGCTGAGTAACCCCAAGCCCAGTCCATTCCCCATTTTAGAACAGGCGGTCTCATGTTCCCCCTTAGGTGGCAGCTGGATATCTGGAGGAATTGTTTGAGATGCTCAGCATACCTGTGGAGGGTGTTCATGGGGAAGACCCAGTCCCCGTGGGTGCTTTTAACCAGCACCCTTCAGAGAGATTTGGATTAGACAAAGCAAATGCCACCAGATCTGTCCTTCCGTTCCTGTTCTTGTGAGAACACGAGGAAAGTGTGCTTTCCTAACTCTCTGTGGTACTCTTGGTCCTTGGTGTATTTGTGTGTGAGGGGAGGTGCTACAGCGTGTGGATCTGAGTGTTTCATGGCTTCGTTTAGATACTGAAAGTGATTAAATTATTCATAAAAACAGGCGAAGTGCGGTGGGTTTGCCTCCTGCACAGTCACACTGTGGCATGCCTCCAGAGTGCCTGGTCACAGACTGGGTGCTGGTGTTTTGGAGCAGGCGGTTGGAGTGGCCTCTGGCTGTCGCCTGGGAAGGGTGACCTGAAGTCTCCCACTCTTTCTTCCAGTGAGAAGTGTGAGGTGTTGGTGTACAGTCCATGGGAAGCCAAAGACTCAAGCAAGGTGAGGAGATGCGCGGGACGCAGATGCCCTAAGTGTGACCCACACACTCTTCAGACAGCTGGTTAGGAATGTTGGCAATGCACTAAAACACATAAAATAAAAACAATAACTAAAATATTCTTTAAAAATCATAGGTGGCAAATACACAAAACATCCTGGGTTATCTGTGCCATGCTTACTAAACACGTAATTCAGTTGAATGTTGGATTAATTCACAGGAAAAAGTAATCATTTAAAAATAAGTTTTCCTCAAATTTACATTCTGTGAAATTCCAGTTAATCTTTAAAAAGATTTTATTTATGATTTTTAATTTTGTGTATATGAGTATGTTGCCTGCCTGTAAGTGCACCATGCATGAAGTGCCCTTGTCCTGGAGTAACTGACAGTTGTGAGCCACCGTGTGGGTGCTAGGAACCAAACTCAGGTCCTTGGCAAGAGCAGTCAGTGCTCTTAACTTCTAAGCATCTCCAGCCCCAGTTCCAGTTCATCCTGACAGAGATGCAATGCTTTCAGGGAATGAATGAGTAGTAAACAGCCAAGGAGATTCTGAAAAGAAGTGAAGCAGGACCCTGTGCTCCCCACCCGTGTGCACAGTAAAGAGCTCTGCGGTGTTAGTGCAGGAGAGTGACTTACCCATTACTCACAGGCAGACAGAGAGACATGGCAGTGTGGCAAAGCCATTTCCTTCAAAACAGTGAAAACGTGTAACAGGGAAAAGAAGGCCACTCCTTAAATGGTGTTAAGATAATTAAATATCTATTGGGTTAAAAAAAAAAAAAAGAAAAACCCAAAGATCAGTGTAAAGAAGCAAAAGTTTGGGGCTGGAGAGATGGCTCAGCGGTGAGGAACACTGCAGTGCACGACATGGGTGCACTTCCATACATGCAGGCAATACACGCATACACATAAAATAAAAAAATTTTTTTTTTAAAAAAGAAGCAAAAGTTTGAGGCCAATGACATGAGCTGCAGTGAGTTCCAGGCCAGCCTGGGCTACATAATGAAACTGTCTTCAAAGAAAAGAACAGCGGAGCAGCCCTTACCAGACCTTCCACAGAAGTTCTGCGTTCTGTATGACATGTTTTAGTAAAGCTTCAGTCACCAGCAAACAGTCCTAGTGTGCTGAGAATGTTCTTGCAGAAGACCCAGGTTCAGATCCCAGCACCCACATGGCAGCTAACAACTGTCCGTAACTCCAGTTCTAAGGGATCCGACGCCCTCTTCTGACCTCTGTGTGCACTGCACGACATGGGTGCACTTCCATACATGCAGGCAATACACGCATACACATAAAATAAAAAAATTTTTTTTTTAAAAAAGAAGCAAAAGTTTGAGGCCAATGACATGAGCTGCAGTGAGTTCCAGGCCAGCCTGGGCTACATAATGAAACTGTCTTCAAAGAAAAGAACAGCGGAGCAGCCCTTACCAGACCTTCCACAGAAGTTCTGCGTTCTGTATGACATGTTTTAGTAAAGCTTCAGTCACCAGCAAACAGTCCTAGTGTGCTGACTTGTGTTTGTGTCACCAGCGCTCAGAAGCAGGGGCAGGTGAATCACTGGAAGTTGAGGCAGCCTGGTCTACCCAGTGAGTTCCAGACTAGCCAGGGCCACACAAGACCCTGTCTCTAAAAGAAATTAAGGAAGGAAAGGAGGGAGAGAGGAGGAAGAAGACAGAGAAAGCCACAAAAGGAATTAAGACGGGGTGGGTTCCGGCCTGTCCTGCGGGAACGTGTAGCGCTGATGGCGGTGAGCAGCCTGCGTGCTCTGAGAGGACAGGAGGGGCCTGGTGAGCTCACCACAGGGAACAGCCTCTGCTTTCTGCCCAGCTCTTGCTGCTTTCTGTAAAAATTCTTCTTTGTCCCTAGTTTGTTCTACTCGGACCGAGGGGGATCTGGATCAAGTTTCATTACCTTCCTCGTCCTCTGTTTCTGCGAGCTGATTTATTTTTAGTTTATGCCTTTTGACTGGTGTTTAGATACATGTTTTGATGGTGTGTGTCTTAGAAGAATGTACTCAGGTTCTTGAACCTCTGTGAGTCCTGACTCAGGCATGTCCTGGGAGAGCGTATGGTGGCTGTGAAGGTTGCCTCTGGAGTCGGATTGCCAGGCTCTCCAGGACTGTGGGTGTTTGAGCTCCTCTTTTCTGTGTGGCTCAGTTCCTTCAGAAAGGAACTCATTTGGGAAGATGTGGGTAGTCTCTGAGTGCTGGCTTTTCCTGCTAGTCTTGATTCCATTTCTCCTAACATTCACAGCAACGTCTGCTCTCAGGGTATTTGGGGTGTTGGCAGGCAGGGCCATGAGGCGGGAGCAAGCGTCTGTCCCTCTTCATTCTGACTGTAGTGCTCTTGTTCGTGTTTCTAACTGGGGCTCTCTCCTTTGCTTGTCTCAGGTGGCAGAGGACATTGAATACCTCAACTACGACAAAGGGCCTTGGCTCACCCAGGACGACCTCTCCTTCCACAACCTGCGGATGCTGTGAGTGACTAGGGGGGCTGTCGGAGCAGGATCAGACCGCTCCTTGTGTCTTCTGCATGCTGTAGAAATAGACAGTTCTGAAATACTTATGCCTCACTTCAGGTGTCCCTGCACCTGTTAGCTTGGAGGTGCTCCTCTCCCTGCCATGCAGCTCTTGATGTCTGTGGTGGGCTCATTACGTAGTTGTTTGCCACTATTAGTTTCATAGGCATTTTGCTTCTACTTTGTACCATGCCCAGGTCCAGTTTGAAAGAATATTGCATCGAATACAATTTCTGTTCTTGCCAAAGATTCATTCTAGTGAGAGCTGCAGGGTAAACGGGGCATAAGTACTGGGTCAGAGGCCACCTGCAAGTCATGGGGTGTGAGCTAGGGCTGATCAGCCAAGGGCACTGCTGAGGCGCAGAGGCCTCTTCATGAAGAGGCCTGGGTGAAATAGGACTCAGCCTCGTGTGTCTGAAGGTAGTTAAAGGTCAGAGACAGCAGGCTGAGAGGCTCTGAGGCAGAGGCAGGCTGGCAGAGGATATGGCCCACTGCTAAACCACTGGCCATTGTCTGGCCTCTGCAGAAGTATGGGTTCCAGAGGCCCAGGAAGCTTGCCTGCCGCCCCATCTGAAACAGGCTTCATGGATGTGTGTGCAGAACAGTCTGGAGCAGGCGCTTGCGTTCTTTTTGGGGCCGTGCCTAAAAATTCAGGAATGATTTTGTAAAGAAAAGAGCTATTAATTTTAGTCACTTTCGTGTCAGAAAATGTCAGTATTTGCCCCTTCCCCCTTTTTTTTTCTTTTGTGATTGGGTTGCCCTGTGTTGCCTAGATCGGTCTCAAACTTCTAGGCCCAAGTGATCCTCTCTCCTAACCTCTCCAGTAGTTGGGAAGATAGGTCCACACCACCATTCCAGGCTTCGCCATCTATCAACTTATGATAGAGGAGGGAGCATGGTGTACGGGATGTGCCTCTAGATTAAGTTCTGACTGCTGGCCATTTCCTGCCACCAACCCGGAAATTGGTCTTAGGCCTTGTGCCTCAGCACTGCAACCTTGGCTCTTGGGGTCGCCCATACACCAGAAGGCGTCGGTGCTCAGGGCTCCTCGAATCTCAGAAGTAAATGACTGCTTCAGAGGCCCTGCCTGGTGCCAAGGTGGGGGGGTGCCTCCTCAGTGGTCAGTGGGGCTGGTACCCTTGGCCCTTGACAGTGTGTGGGTAGGATCAGCTCTGCTTTCTCTACCCCATGACGAGTGAAGCTGTGGTCTCTGCAATGTCCAGATGGCTAGCTCACTAGCACGCAGCTAGCAGGGCGTTGATCCAAAGCGACCACTCGGTGATAGAGCCCTTGCCTAGCTTGCTGAGGCCCCGAGTTCAACTGCAACACCGGAAGAAAGAGCAGAGGCTGAGGAAGATGTGAGCTGTAACTTTTATCTCTTTTCTGTCTCTGGAACAGCAGTCATAAGCAAAAGCAGACTCACAGGAAAGAGCTGGGCATGAACCTAGATTTATTAATTAACAGTTGTGTGTAAGCAGGATGTTGACTTCCAATCAACTATCTGTCCATAACTATTACATACAAGATCGCTTTCCTAGTTGATGTCTGTGCCGCACAGGGTAGGGGACAGGGTAAAGTCTGCCTGTGAACATGGGACAGGTCATTTTACACCCCCTCCCCTACCCCCATGCCTTGGTTTCTTTATCTGTAAAATTTTAGCACTAAAGTAGAATGTGAAACTGGATTTATTGACTAGAAAGCAAAAGCAAATTGTCTCTACTGATTTCAATACATTCTGCCCTGTAGGGTTACTTTCCTATACAGTGATCTTAAACAATGAAAGTAGCTTGCTGATAGAACCAGGTCTCTAGAACAGTAGAAAAGCATCTAGAATATCCTCTGTCAAAACACGAGACAAAAACGCTCCTTCTGAGTCTTCCTGCCTTGGAGTAAAGCGCCTGGCTCTGCCTGTGGGCCTGATAAATGCTCTGCAGCCAGGAGGAGACGGCTCCTGAGAGAGGGCCGGAGTCACCATGCAGCAGCAGGGTGAAGTGCCCCAAAGGTCCTGGGCAGTAGTGTGTGCCCTGGAAAGTTGGGAACAAAAGTCCAAAGCCAAATTACCTGCCATCCCACCACCACGGTAGCCAGGGTTACAGTTTACTGGGTTTTCCAGCCTTTGCAATGTGTGTATCCACATGTTTCTAAATATCATCTTGTGTGTTTTGTACCTACTTTTACTATCACAAGCATGTCTGATTCTACTAAACACTTAGTAGTTTGCTTTTTTAATGGCTACCTGTACATGTCACATATATCTATTGAGAAATGAACCTGTACTCTGTGCTCCCAGTCAGCCCTTAGGTGCTAGACTATTCAAAGGGAAAATTAAAAGGTTATGGAACGGTACAGATTTCATGGTATGTACACAAGGACAGTGTGACAATGAAGCCCGCCATTCTGCATAGTCGATGATGGTTTTTAAAGCCTCTTACTTACTGTTTGGCCCCTACAGAAAAAGCCCCATTCACTAGCTTCAATGCTTGAGTCTTCGATTACTTTATCTTCTGTTCATAAACAGTAAGGAGCATCATACACATTTTCATTTGGTTCCAAGTTACTTTCTTAAGGTGTAAAAGTTGTGATTGGGTCAAATTGTACAAATACATTTTACAACTCTCAATTTTCTGCACAGTTATTCTTTAGCGAAACTATTGCTAGTACATATATATATCTTTTTTTTTTTTTTTTAACGTGTAATTAGGGGGCTGGAAAATGGCTCAGTGGTTGAGGGCAGTGACTGCTCCTCCAGAGTACATAGTTTCAGTACCTGCACCTACATGGTGGCTGACAACTGTCTGTCTGTAACTCCAGTTCCAGGGGATCTGATGCCCTCTTCTGGCCTCCAAGGACATTGTATGACACAGGTACATTTAATATACATGCATGCAAAACACTCATATACATAAAATAAATCAAAAAAAATTTTTTTAAGAAGTATAATTATATGGCTAGAGAGTTGGCTTAGTCAGTACCTGAGTTCAGATTCCCAGTACTCAGGTATAGTAGGGTGTGGTGGCTCACACTAGTGTGGAGACAGGAGGATCCCTGGGGCTCGCTGACCAGCAGTCTAACCAAATTGGTGAGTTCCAGGATCAGTGAGAGGCTCCATCTCAAACAGTAAGGGAGAGAGTGAATAAGGGAGGCACTCCACTGACTCTGGCCTCCACACACTCAGACTCAGGTACTTGTACGCCCTTCACACAGGAGCACAGACGTGTACACCCACATGGTGAAGTAGGGTCAAACAAAAAGCCAATGAAAACCTGCGATTCTGTTACCAAAGGAAAGTGTTTGCTTTGCTCTGCTTTGCAATTCCTACACAGTGAACTTCAGTTTCTGTTTTTTTTGGCTATTTATTTGCCTTTGTGAGTTTTCTTTTTCTGCTGGTTTATTTTTTCAAAGAACCAGGCTTTGATGTTGCTTGCTGTTTGCAGCCTCTGACTTCTGCTCTGGCTTTATTATTTTTCTCCTGCTTCGCTGTACCTCAGTTGCGCCTGCTCCTCTCCTTCCCCTCCCCTCCCCTCCCCTCCGCTCCCCTCCCCTCTTCTTTTCTCCTCTTTCCTGTTTCCCCCCACCCCCAAACCCTGCAGCTTCCCAGGGTAGAAACTTAGACAACTGAGTTAGACCCGCTGTTCTAAGGGAGCCCAAGGCTCTCCATTTCCTTCCTTTTTTTAAGCTCTAGTTTATTCTGGTGTGGTCTGCAGACAGACTATGTGTCTCTCTTCTCTCATCTCCGAGTATTTTATAGCCAGGTGTCTTCGGAGCTGGTACATACGCCATTGAACAGGAGAGAGGTATGGGTTCTGCTGCGGAAGGAGAATGCTGAGCCTGTCTGCTGATGGAGCATGTCAGCTGAGTCATCTGTCCTCTGTGCTGCCGGAGCTGTCATTTCTGGTGGGGTTAAAGCTCCAAGGATGCCAGCTTTCCTGGTTCTGCTTTGAGTACTGTTCATGTGTTCCGATACCCTGTAGTAGCACATCTCTTCAGAGTGCATCTATGCATGCCTGATCTTCCTTTGTTCTGAAGTCTGCTCTGCTTGAACTTAAGATGCTTCTCAGTTAGTGTAGGCACAATATGTTCTTCTCCATCCTTTTACTTTTAAGTTATCTTGATTTTAAGCCATTTTCTTCCACAATAAATAGTTGGTCTTGTTTTTGCCTGTCCTCTGACAGCTTGTGCCCTCTAATTGGTGTTTGAGCCTTCACAAAGGGTGAGCAGCCATGTTGGAATCTGGCTCTCTGTGTTTCCTGTTACACTAGTTCTCTTCCCTTTTCTCTTCTCTGAATTTAACGGTTATTTTATATCATTCTAGTTTATGTCTTAGCATATTAGTCTTTAAAAAAGAAAAGAAAAAAACATTTTTACAGTTGCTATAGTTTTGTCATTCCCAGCTCATCTGCATCCACGGCTGTCCCAGGAGGGCAGGTAACGATAGCGGGGTGCTCCCAGCTTCCCTCTCTGTCCCTTTGGTGTTGCTGGCCTGTGTTCCACTCTTCTCCAAGCTGAATCACTTAGAATGTTGTTACTCTTCCTTCTGAGAAAACTACCATTAGCCTACTATAGGCACAGTGTCAAACAACCTTGGATAAAAACTTTTTAAAAATTGTGTCTGTACTGAACATGTGCTCTTTTTTCTTCTATTTATTTATTTATTTATTTATTTATTTATTTATTTATTTAGTCTTTTTGAGACAGGGTCTCCCTGTAGCCTCAGCTGGCCTGAACTCACTATGTAGAACCGGGCTGGTCCCCAGCTCACAGAGATCCGCTTGCCTCTGTTTCCCAAGTGCTAGGACTAAAGGCGTGCACCACCACGCCCAGCTGCTTCTTACTCTTTAAGCATTGTGTTGGAACTGTGTCCACAGCCTGTACGTTGGGTACTGTTGGAAGTAGTCTGAGCATCCCTGGCAATACACAGGAGGCAGCCCGAGGCTCTGTGCAGGCCGTGTGCTTGTTCTGTTAGGACCTGGCATCCTCAGAGTTAGCCACAGGGTCCTGGACACATCCCAGTGGATACCCTGAGGTGTCTGTAATGGTTGTCCGCTTTTTCCTCTGGTAAGGACAGGAGTGATAACTTCAGGCCCTATGCTTGAAAAGGAGCTGAAATACTGGTCCCTTCTGTTCATTAAAAACTGTTGTTAGCTCTGTCATCTATATCTTTTATGTGTTGTATTTGTTGTGCATGCCGTGTGTGGGGCTGGTAAATTCACCTCAGTGACGGTCTTTGCAGTCACCTTGCCTGACAAGCTCTCCTTCACCATTAGTGTCTGTAGTGTATGACCTTCACTTCTAAACTGTGCTCCCTGCTGCGCAGCAACCCTGCTTTCAGGTGAGGAGACCCCAGGGAGCTTGCCCTGCTAAGGACATGGGCGAGGGCCCTGTGGAGGGACCTGGTGTCTTGGGCTCTGGGACGTGGAGCTGTACTGTGCTCTGAGCACAGGGCCATCTTGCCTCTGCTATCATCTGTTCAACGTTGAGGCCCGAGGTTGGAGTCCTAGCTTGCGCCCTTCCCTCCGTGCCGTTACTCAGGTTGGAGTGCTCTGCTCTGGTCTCTTCCATCTTCCACCCTGGTGACTCATTCTGGAGCTCCGCTTCTAGTCATTTGCTGATTCACTGTTTTCCTGCACAGCTCCAGAGGGTAGGTTCTAAAAACAAAAAGCTTGGGTGATCCTGCTTCCCCTATATGCCACAGAAAGCCTCCATGCGTTAAACCTCTCTCCTGAAATGAGCTCAGAGTCTGAGGCCTCTGCCCTGGTCCAGCACCTAGTCCTCTTCTCTGAGTCCAGCTCTTCAAGGCCTGGCGAGTCACTGCTGCTCTTGTCTCACTGGACCTGTGTCACCTTCACACTGATCTGTCACACAGATGATTGTGTGGTCATTGCCTGTTAGCATCAGTCACTGCTGGGCTCAGTGTGAGCGAGCATCCGAGGAAAGGGGTTGTTGTAAATCTAGCCGACTTGCCAACACCTGGGAATATGTCTGACTTCTGACCTCCCACCAGTAGATGCTGCCTGTCATTTTCTAAATGTAATTCGATTTTACTCTAGCCCAAATCCATGCTTTAATAGCCGTGATTTGGGTAATTGCTTAGTTCTATGGCTATCAAAGCACAGAGATGTGCCCTGTAATTCTCCCAGAGTTTATATTGGCTTACACTGGCTTTGTCCCCCCTCCTCTTTGTCCCCCTGTGTGTTTCAGAACGTTTTGCAATGGTGCTTGTGTTTATTTTCATTTGAGTCTTGTTGCTTGAATGAAAATTATGACCAGTTTTCTGAGATAATTATTGTCAACATGCCATTTTTCAATTACCCTCACTTGATCCAAACCCGATCAAATTATTGGTTTAGAATATTTTTATTTCCTCTCAGTTACATGTGTCAGTGTATAGTGTGTGAGTGTGTGTGTGTGTGTGTGTGTGTGTGTGTGTGTGTGCGTGCCTGCCTTCCTGCCTGTGTGCACGCTTACTGCAATGGGGTAGCCATCCTGGCAGCACTTTGCACTCCTTTCCCTGTTCATGGCAGGCTGGTCCTGTGGGAGGCAGGGTTTAGCAGCCAGGGTTCAGGGCTGCCTGCCCCTGCCCATCCTCCCTGTGCTCCCCACGAGGCTGTCCAGGGCTTGTGGGAGCATCTCTCCACTTGGGAGACTACGGGTACAAGCTATCTGTCAGCATGGTTTCAGGTGGAACCACAAGTCAGAGAGAAGCTGGCTGTGGAGAGTAGGAGAGAGTGTCCTTCTGTTAATGGAGAAACAGCTTCAGTCATGAAACCTGGTTTGCCATTTTACTTTTTTCTTCTTCACGCCGCAGTCTTCTGTTTAAAAGTACAGGGCCGTAGCACCTCGTGCTAGGCCAGACTCTAGGCTTTTTTCTTCTGGACGCTGCCTCCTGATCCATTGTTCTCATCGGGGTCCTCATTCTGTACAGTTGAACCAAGTCCTCTGTGAACCAAATTTTCCTTTGCATTCTGAGTCATAAAAGGCTTCCTGGTGCCTTTTCCCTCATTTGTCTCAGATGTAGGTTATGTCTACAGTTTATCAGGGGTTCAGACTTCTGGGAGGTGTTCGTTCTGGAGGCGTGCTGTGCTCTTGTGAGCTCATAGACACAGTATAGCAGTGCTCTACTAAGAGTTCAACTCTGCCAAGTTTAAGTGAGGTATAGAATAGAGCTGCAAATTACCATTTTAGTCTTCAAAGATACTGCAAAGCATTCTTGTTCTAAGATTCTCTGGAGCTCTGTGTAAATTGTAATTCTGCCAAATTAAACATAGATGGTGGTGGTGGTCTGTATATTTCAGAGTCCCGGGATGCTAAGTTCTATGCTTTCCAGTATGTTTTAAGGATTTTTCTTTTTATGTATGAGTGTATTGCCTGCGTGTGTGTGTGTGTAAGTGCACCCATGTCGTGCAATGCCCATGGAGGTCAGAAGAAGGCACCAGATTCCCCTGGAACTGGAGTTACAGTTGTTGGCCACTCTGTGGGTACCGGCAATTAAACCTGAGTCCTCTCCAAGAACAGCCAGTGCTCTTAACCACTGATCTCTCCAGCCCCCAAGGAGTTTTTAACTATAGAGAAAACTACCTTCCTACCACCTTGATATTTGTTAACATTTACCATGTACTCCATTTTTAGTTGAAATATTTTGTTACCACTTCCAAAAAGTAAACAGGGGCAGGTATAGAATCAATCTATATCAATAGTAGAAAGCTGTGTGCTTACACATCACTGGCACATGCACAGAACAGACATGAAAGAGCATGCAAGGAAAGCCGCCAGCTCCTAGCTGTGGAGAGGGAACCCTGCAGTGCTGGAAGGGAGGCCGAGGATCAGCTTTGGCACCATGGAGTTTTATCTGACAACTAAACCAACCAGTCTTAGAAAATGCAGCTATTGAATGTCGTTCACAGACTTTCCTGTTTACGTGCTTGAATGTTTTTAAATAGTTTACTATCTCTTGGCAGAGAAAACCAGCTGGATATGAAAGGTACAAAGACAGTCCTATCTTTGACTGTGTCCAGTACGGCCATTTACCTAATGAAGTGCAAACCCCACACATGAGAGGACAGGCAGCAGGCGCTGTTGGGTCACTGAATCCTCACACATGTGGAGCGATGCCTTTGTGCCAGGGCTTCTGCTGCTGTCCCCAGGCTCAGCTGCCGTAGCTCATTTCCCTGTGGTTTCCTATGGAAGCGTGAGTCACAGGCCCATATGTGTGCATACGCCGTGCATTCCTTTGGGATGTGCCATGGGGATCTGGCTGTCTGCTGGTTTGCACAGGAGCCTCAGCACTTCTCACAGGGTCCAGCCAAGAGCCACATGGGCATTGCAGACAAGTAACGTCCTCCGCTGCCTTCACAGCTTAGGAGCGGCCAGGTGACCCCTGAAAGTAATTATTTCCTTTTAGAGGCCTGTAAGAAAGATGGCCGCTTCCTCCCCAAGCAGTCACGGCTGGCCTCCAGCTTGGCACCATCCTCTGGCTTAGCCTTCCAAGTGTGAGGGTTTCAGGCATGCTCTGCTGCACCCAGCTGTAATGCTGCTTTTTGAAATTAAAAATAGTAGTTGTATCTTCAAGCATAATGGTTATGAGATTGACTTTAAGCAAGCCATGGCACAGCCCAAACATTCTAGCATCCAGCAGAATGGAACAGTGAAGCCGGACTCACACAATTAGAGCCCAAAATGGAGCAATAGCCCCGACAGGCAGTGGTGTGATGGACAGTCCCACAGCCCCATGCTCCCCAGCAAGTTGCACATGGCATTGCCACTTCTGTAGACAGCTCAGCCTGCACACGAGCCACACGGTGCTGGCCTGTGACCCCAGAGAGGCCTCAGCTCCTCATCAGCCTCCCCCCTGGTGTTAATGTGCGTCATGGTAACACACTGCCTGTGTAGCTTTCTTGCTGCTGCCCATGTGTAAAGCTCACTTTGGCCCCATTTTCCCACTTCCCAAACCCACCATCTGAAAACACCAGAGCATCACAAGACTCTTCCTCAGATTCTGCAGGGTTTCAGCAGAGCAGCCCACATGGCCCAATGATCTCTAGGATGGAGGTAGTGCTTCCAAGATGCCTGCTTGGAAGTGAGCAGCACCCAGCTTGGTGTATGGAGTTCCTTCACGTAGATACTCAGAGAATCAGAGGTAATATTTGTTTATGATACTTATTTTGATGCTTGTTGTAACCTATGTTTATTTCACTTTTCAGGGTTCAGGATAAGGTGGAGGTGCTGAATTACACAGCCATCCCTGTCTACCTTCCAGAGATCACGATTGGAGCTCACCAGTCTCAGCGGATCTACACCAGATTTAGAGAGGTGAGCAAGCAAGTGTAGTGGTGGGGACCTGTCTGGAGTAGCTGTGGTCAGCACATCACTCACCTGCCACCCCCTCGTTTCTGGGCTACTTGAGTCCTCAGACAGACAGGAGCTGGCATGTAGTGGTGGGCCCGTGCACGGTGATGTCGTCCTCTGTTCTTTAGCTGGTGTCTGTAGTTCCTCACAGCCACAGCTGATGCTGCCTCACCCTTCGGTGTGTCTGCAAATCATGAGGCTCATATTTCTACAGAGGGTCCTCCAACCCAGCAGACCTGTACGGGAAGGGTGGCGGAGCTGGGACAGACAGCTGGGCGCTGGTGGAAGGACCACTCCGCTCTGCTTTTCTCTAATTGCCACATTTTGGTGAGTCGTTTGTTCTTCCACCACTGTGGAGAGTCATCTGTGGCCATTCAGTCAGGGATTTGGGGCCTCATGGAAGCAGCCACAGAGACCTCCATCAGGCACCTGCCTTTCCTCTTGGTGCTCCTCCTGTACCTATGACGTGTTCAAGGACTTGTATGTCTTTTTTCTGTGGGCTGTGTGAACCTGCAGCTTCCTCAGAGCGGGACTGAGGTGGCTCTTTGCCATGGCCGGTGTCCAGGCCAACATCCTGCTTCAGTGGACAGAGCTGCCTCCCTGACCTCCATTCCCAGACTCCCTGCTTCCGTCTGCCATGCAGAAGCAGCCCCATTCAGGGTTAACCTACTCACTGTTGGCTGTGAAAGAGAAGACAGCAGTTCACAGTGTTGCGGGCCTGTTTCCCTTCATTCCATTAGCTTTGGCCTTGACAGGTGTGTGCTGGCTGGGCAGTCAGTAGACTTTCCCTGTACCTTTGACACCCTCCACTCTTCCCTTAGTAGTAGATTCTGCCTTAAAGTTCACCCTGTCCGTACTGACACAGCATCTTAAACATTCTTCAAGTAGTATTTGCCCGAGACAACTTTTTTCTGTATCTTTTAATGTCAGCCTCTATCTTTGTTCAGTGTATCTTAATCCCTGCAGGAATTGAGGAAATCTTGCCGTTCTTAATATTTGGAATATTTATCTAGTCACATTTAATGATATATTTGTATCTCAATGGTCTGTCTTCCTATTTGTGTTTTTCTGAGTTTCGTTTACTTTCCTCTGTTTGCTCACTAGTTATTCTGTTAATGGCCCTTAGTGACTAACCTGATCCTGGAGATGTTCATCTTTGATGTACTCAAGGCTGTCATTAGAGGCCTTCTGCTTTCAGACTGTGTGAGAGCCACAGGCTGGGTGAGCTGTCGTGGCCATGTTTTCATCCTCTGCGTTTTAAGTCCCTCCGCACATATGGTGGAGACGGTGTTGACTCAGGTCCCCTGCCTTACCTCTGAGTTTACCTTGCTGTGACTCATACCTTCCCTTGGCTCTGGTTCCATCAGGGCCACTGGCCTTCCCCTGAAAGAATTCTTTGCTGCAACAAATTAAAATGGTCCTTATTTGATCTTCATCTATCTTTTAAATTATTTTTTAAAATTCTTTTTGGGGAGAACTTCAAGCTTTTAAAGAAGAAGAGCTGGAGAGATGGCTCAGCACTTACGGACACTGCTGCTCCTGCAAAGGCCCATGTTTGGTTCTCAGCACCTACATGGCAGCTAACACCATCCTTAACTCCAGTTCCGGGGCCTCCAGTGCCCTCTTCTGGCCTCTGCAGGCACCATGTACACAAGTGGTGTACACATACATCCAGGCAAGCACTCATACACATAAAATACAAATGAGTAAATCTTTTTTTACCCTGGCATGGTAGGTAGCACACACCTGTCATTCCAGCACTTGAGAGGTGGAAGCAGGAGATCAGAAGTTCAAGGTCGTCCTGAGCTACATAACGAGTCCAAAGCCAGCCTGAATTTTTTTAAAAGGGCTCAAGTATAGAAAAACTATTTCCTGACCCATTTGAGATCACTGTGATACCCTTTATATCAGACACTGAGCACTGTGGTCTCAGCACTCATCCCCAGGACACACATTAGGAGTGCAGCTCCTTGGTTCCCACGCCCACCCCCAGGTCCAGGAATACTTGATCAGACACCCTAGCATGGGTTAGGAATGGGTTCTAATGAGTCTTCCAGTCAACTGTAATGGCCACTAGGGTTTGGGACCCTCCACTTGAGGGTGTCATTCTTATGAACAGGACGTTCTCCCTCACACCCCCCTCAGAGCTGCCAGTCCTGGGGAGGATTTGCACGCTGCTGCTAACCACAGACCCATTGAGGGCCATCAGTGATCCCAGAGATCCAGGCTGGACAAGAATTTGCATCTGGTGGGTTCCAGGACTTGCACCTGAATTTGTTACTTGAACTTCCTTGGTATTTAAGACCTTGTCACTTCAAAACTTTTAGAGACTACAGGATGGCTACTTTGCTGGATGTTCTTCAGTCTGGTATGTTGGTTGTTTCCCCATAATTAGGCATAGGCCATGTATTTGGGGGGTACTAGAGAACTCACTGCGACTTGTCGAACTGCATGTGACTCCCATTGGCCGTGTTGCTGTTTATGGTTCACTAATCACCTGAGTGTGAAGGGACCCTAACTCTTCATAATCAGTAAACACTGGGGGACTTCGAAACCATGCAAGTGTGTACTCTGGTCAGATTTTCATGCAGGAGTTCTAGTGGCCGTTGACTTTCTGGATTTCATCAGCTGTCAATCACTATGATGGCTGCCCAGTTGTGTTCTTCTTCATCATCCCCTCTGCATCATTGGTTCATGTCTCTTCCCCATGTGTTTACCTATTTATGTGTTTATATAACAGTGGACTCCCAGGTTCCTGATTTTTATATGTATCAGTATTGTTTATCAGTGTTTGAAAACCATGAACTCACAGCGGTGTCTATCGCCGGCGGAGCTCAGCAGGTCTCAGTGTGGTGTCTGCTCCTGTACCTCTCATGTCCTCCCTGTCTGCTCCCCACCCACCCCCAGTCCCCACTTACTGCAGTTACTAGTGTCCTTCAGGCTCTGCCACCCCCTTTGGGAGAGTAACAAGCTGTATTCAGCCCTGTGGAGCAGCTTTGGCTCAAACTAGAGAGGACCGGGACTGTCTTCATTCCTAGGAACGGTTTGCCCCACATCAGGTAGAGAATTCTTAACTACCAGGATTTTTTATTTGATTGGTTGATTTTTCTTGCTGTTTCAGTTAAAATACATTTCTTATTTCCCTGGGTGGGCCTGTCTCTTGTCCGGTTTCTGTGTACCCCTGGGGGCAGTGTGCATCCACCCTCGCTTGACTTGGGGTTCCTGAAGCCCGTGGAACCTTTGTGTGGTCTCTGCTGTCGCTAGGGCAGTTGTCTGCTCTCCTTGGGCTCCAGCAGCGGCTCCCTACACCGCTCCCTGTGCCCCTGCGCTCCTCTCGGTCCTCTCACGGTCTTTTCTGTGTGCTTCAGCCTGGTCTGTTCTGAGCTGGCCTCCGAGACCCTGGCCTTCTCCAGTCCTGTCTAACCTGCTGTCAGACCTGCGTTCTTTAAACTGAGCCTTGAATCTAACCCTGGTCTTTTGTTGTTGCTTCCAGAATTTCCATTCTGATTTCAAGCTCTTTACATGGTCGTTCTGTCATACAGTTTCTCGAACCTACTAGTCACAGCCAAAGGTACCTGATAACTGTGGTGTCCATCCTTTGGGCTCTGTTTAAACTGCCTGCTTCGTTTGAGGGGATGTGTTATACCATTTCCTGGCGGGCACTGAGATGACCCTGATCACCAGAATCCACCTGGGAGCCAAGCCTGTCCTGTTCGGTTTCTGTTGCTGCGATAAACACTATGGCCCAAAGCAGTGTGGCGAGGAAAGAGTTTAATGTGGCTTAAATGTCCTGATGACATGAGGGGCCAAGGTAGCACTGAAGCAGAGATGGGGGAACGGCACCATGGGTTTGCTTCCTCTGACTTGCTCGGCTGCTTCTCTTACACAGCCCAGCTCTACCTGCCCAGGGATGGCCCTGTCCTCAGTGGGCCTTGTCCTGCCACATCAGCCAGCAGCCAAGAAAATGCCCCCTAGACATGGCCACAGGCCAATTTGATAAACACTAACCACGGTATGGACGACTGTGCCTGTGTTTGGTAAGGGCTGCTGTGTTTCCAGGTTGCCCCTCCTAAGAGAACACCTTTAACAGGTCACTTCTTTTGGTGGGCCCACACCACAGGTTTTGTCCCCACTGTGTACCCTGCCTCTGGAAGCTGCTCAGCGCCTCACTGCAGCTGCTGCTTGTGAGAGTTGGGGAGATCCTGGGGGAGTGACATGCTGACCATCAGCCCCCCTGCCTTTTGTCCTGGGCCCCTGGAAGCCAGGCCGTCCCTGCACTGTGAGCAGGTGTCCTTTCTGTCTGTCTGCCTCTGCTCATGTGGGAGGGCGGAGTTGGTCTGCACCAGCCGGTCCTCCAAAAGCTGGACGCAGGTGGCAGCTGTGTGGTGAGCTTGTCTGCTACTTTGACTGTCATCATGTTTTATGGCCTTCTGCATTCTTACACTGAGCATCGAAGAGAGTCTGTGGCATTGGGCGGGTGGTTTTAATGAAATGTTTAGAGAGGCTAAAGTGGAGAGATACCTAAGTTTTTATAATGAGTTTATTTTTCAGGGCAGTTTTCGATCTGTAGGACAGTTGTGAGACGGTCAGGGTCTCCTGTGCCCACGCTGGGTTTGCCTGTCACCAGCTTCCTTGTGTCCTTTTGGTAGTTAATCCTCAACACAGACACTGGATGTTAGCTGAAGATACACTTCCTCCAGATCTCAGAGTTTCCCTCAGGTTGTTCTGTTCCAGGGTGCTGTCCAGACCTCATGGCACAGGTCGCCAGGTCTCCACAGGCTTCTCTTGACTGTGACACGTGGGCGGACCTTCCTTTTTCTTGATCACGCCGACAGTTTAAGGAGTCCTCGGGTGCTTTCATGTGGACATGGGTGCCTGGGTGCAGAGGGGTCAGGGTGAGCCGTCAGCAAGGCTGTTGGTGATTTTAACTTGATGGTCTGGCTGAGTCCTGTTTGCAGATCTCT